TATGAAATGGATCAAATTCAGTTATCGATATTGTATAATACAAATATCGTAAACAACTCTTTATTTGCCTCAAATACTCGAATCGAAAAATTCTATTGGATTGTGCTTTGCTTTTACGGATGTGGAATGGCAATTTGATTGTTTGAATTTGAGTCGATGCTCTATGCCGTTGGATCTATTACTGTCTAGTATTGCTTTTACGTTTTTTAAATTATATTGTTGTTGTAACAGGTGTTAGGAGAAAAAACTTTGAAATTGGCATTTTTGATTACATAAGGAGGTGCATAGGGGTGGGCGGGGGGTTCAGAGCCGCTAAAAGTTAAGGCCACCGAACGTTCTGGACTAATTAATAGTTAAATAACAAGTTTTTCTTTATATTTTCTTGGATGTATTTATATATATTGGATATATTATATTTTCTTGGATATATATGGAGTCTTGGATATATTATTCATACGAGTTATTCTAATTTATATTTCCCAATCTGAATTTCATTTCAGTTAATGTTTCTTGATATCAGGGGCGTAAATTTTAAAATAACAACATGGAACTTTTTGTCAACTTTCAACTTTTATGTCATAGAAATTAATTGTATTAAAAATTTCAACTATTGCTGATTTAGTGTTTTTATATTGCCGATTTAATGTTTTTATATTGCCGATTTAGTGTAATTATATTGCCGATTTAGCTAGTGTGGAACTGCTGCGGAAAATGTTAAGAAAAACAAAATGCAGGGTTGGAATAATTTAAAAATATTTAATTAAAAAAATCATTGATTTGAATCTCGTGATTTTTTTAAAATCACAGATTTATCTAGAAAGTATTATTTATACAGTACTCCATTAACTAATATATTATACTTAAGGCTGTGATAATAAACCATTGATATGAAATCTCATTGATAATAAATGTTTTATTCATAGAATCAAGAAACAAGTTAATAAATTAAGAAACAAAAAATATTTTTTTAAGAGCTGAAATGTTTGAAAGATTTGGAATGTAACTTTTAAATTATAAGTTTTCATTTCATATCATTTTCACATTTAAAGTGCTCGTTGTATGATTTTTTTTTATCAATAAATATATTTTAATTTAACACATTTATTTTTTACAAGTAATTTTAAAACTTATCACCTATCTACTTGTAATTGATGAATAAAGACTTGCTCTGCCAAGAATAATTTATTTTTGAAAATTTTTTCTGATCTTAATTTACTTTTCATTCAACAAGTTGGTTCACTGTCTTTGCAATTTATTAATGTTTTTAATTTGTTAACAAAATAATTACAGACTTTATTTATTCAATAATTAGTTTGTAATAATTAAATAAGAATATTAATCTTTTCATTATTAGTGGTATTAAGAATTTTAGTTAGTATTATTGATAAATAATGTAAAGTATTATTTATACATTTTGTCAGATTGTTAAACGCGAAAACAATTTTAAAGAAAAATCTGATTGAAATAAAAAAATCCTATGTTTAGTTATATACTTAGTTGCACAAAACATGATTTTTATTAACCATCATGATAAAATGCCTTACTGTTTGGCCCAGGGCCTAAATATTCGTCTAAGCACGCCTCTGGTAATGCGATTAGGAAAACATAATTTATTTTTACTAATTTGGAAAGATTTATCAAAAGCGCTGAAAATGTAACTTTTTATTGGACTAGATTATTTTGTCTCTTTAATTATGCCCAGTATTTTTCAACCAAAGTGAAAAGTAAAGCATCTTTAACCTTGTTTTTGCATGTTAATTGAGATGCTGTATATAAGGGTGCGCAATCTGTGGCTCCGGCGGCACCTGAACACAATGAAAAAAAAAATATGTATTATTATACAGGGTGCTTATAAAGTCCCGTACCCATTTTGATGTTTAATAACTCATAAAATAATAAAGATAGATTAAAATTAATAACATAAATGGTTAGATAGACTCAAAAACTTTCATGAACCTTGTCAATGAACTTCCACGTGTGCCCCCTTCGTCGCACGGAGAATATCAAGTCGATAGTCAATTTCACGCCAGGTAGCGGCAAGCATGTCGGCATCCACAGAGGCTATTGCGGTTGTAATTCTGGCTTTTAGGTCATCAATGCTCGACACGATCCTCCTGTAAACATTGTCCTTTATAAATCCCCAAAGTAAAAAGTCCAGCTGCGTTATATCAGATCTGGGTGGTCAAGGAATTGGACCTCCTCGCCCAATCCATCTTCCTGGAAAATGGTCATTCAAAGAACTACGAACCCCAATGAGGTGGTGCACCATCTTGTTGCAAAAAGACATTCGGCTGAAGCTCTTCTAGTTGTGGAAATACGAAGTTTTTCAGCATGTCCAAGTCTTGGCCAAAGTCTCGGCCGTCTTTTCTGTGAAAAAGAAAGGCCCAATGACTCGGTCGTGCATTCGTCCACACCACACATTAACATTTGGGGAATCCCTTTGTGTCTCATGGTATTCGTGGGGGTTTTCAGATCCCCATATGCGCACATTATGGCGATTAACAATGCCAGAAATACCCATTTTGGACCTATTTTGATGTTTAATAACTCATAACGCTTGCCGCTACCTGGCGTGAAATTGACTATCGACTTGATATTCTCCGTGCGACGAAGGAGGCACACGTGGAAGTTCATTGACAAGGGTCATGAAACTTTTTGAGTCTATCTAACCATTTATATTATTAATATCAATCTATCTTTATTATTTTATGAGTTATTAAACATCAAAATGGGTCCGGGGCTTAAACACCTTGTATACTTTTAAAAAGAAAAAAAAAATCGAAAATTTTGAATCGCGCATTATGCAACTGAAACGCACTTCTTCGATTCGAATCGATTTCTTCGAACCAATTCGATCGCTATTCGATTGCAACTCGTTTCCTAATTCAATTGTTACATTAGATCACTATCGAAGTAAAAGTGTATTTATTTTTATCGTTTTTCGGTAGTTATGCTCCGAATTTCCTCGTGGTTTGGAAAATCCTAATATTTTTAATATGTATTATTAGGGCACTCGAATCGCGCATTAAAATGTGTGCTTTATTTATGCTAATTTCATCACAAATCTAAATATTTTTTTTTAAATTAATTTATTTTGTCGTTTTTTCGGTAGTTATTGCTACTCTTTTCCGCGTGGTTTGGAAAATCTCAATGCTTTAAATTGTTGATCGAAATGGGCTATAGGTGCTAATGGGCTATAGATCAAAATTCTCTACTTATGGCAACACTACGCATGCTTTCACCAGTAGCGTGTGGAGAGTCATAGGAGAAGGAAGCACGTCAGTTTCTCTCTTGATTTTCAAATAGATTAAAAACTTTTAGGTTAGAAAATTATTGGAACTGAAAACTACATAGAACATAGTTCTAAAAGAAAGCGTCATGGAAATTTTAAAAATTATTTGTGACAATTAAATACGAAAAATATTAAGAGAAAATATCGTAGTACATTCTTATATAACTGAGAAGAGGAGGAGAGAGAAAGTTAAGGCATGGAACCGGTCTTCTCCCCTGATGGCTTATTCTTGCGTTGCGATCACGAATACGATATTATCACGACTTGCTTGTTTCGAATCTTGCATTTTAACATCATTATTGACTCGCTATATTTGAGCGGATTTAATTATCAATCCAAGATATTTTCCTATTGTTTTTGTGGCAGTTATTGTTGCTCTTTTCTGCGTGTTCCAAGAATTATTAGCCGTAGTGGCTCAGGGGATAGAGTGTTCGCTTTCAAATGAGGTGAACCGGGTTCGAATCCCAGCGATAGCTGGTAGTTGCGAATTCCGGACCCAACTTGCATTATCATGCTGGATCATGGGTTAACAGTCCCCTTGCTAACCGTGGGAGCTTTTCGTAGTTTTTCTCTCCATGTGACGCGAATGAGCGTTAGTTCCATCAAAAAGTCCTCCACAAAGACAAATTTCTACCAATACTTCATCTAGGAGTTCCCTTATCTTCTGGATTGGGTGCAAAATTACGAGGCTATGGAGTTGAACATTAGTAGCTGTAAACCCAAAATTGGGTCGTCTGTTCAACAACAGTTATTAAATAAAATATTGTCAATGTGATTTTTTTTAACGAGTTTTAGAGTTTAAAATCGCCATTTTATTAATAACTTTTAACACTTTCTTTATTTTTGCAGATTTAATCATCAAACTATTGTATCTTTTGGCAGTTGTTACTCATTTACACATGATGGTTTTTTTAAAAATCTCGATATTTTTAATACAGTATTAATACAACATGCGAAATTTGAACCTGCAATTTTGAATTTCAATCAAAAATACTTAAATTCTGCTATCTAAACAATTAAATCACAACATACAATGTTTTGGCTAAATTAGTTGCAATAAAAAGAACTCATCAAAACCAGTTAATAATTTTTTGAGGTATTTGTGGCTGGAAACATTTTCGTAAAGAATCCTCAGTGTATAAGATAGGTTATGTGATTCAAACTCCCTTTTGCAAATGATTTATGAACTGAAGAAATGTAATCAAATCCATATACATTTTTTCTCATTATAGAATAATCTGCGAGTTTAGTTACTGAAAAAAGTAATTTTTTAGAGCAAAATAATTTAACCAAAAATATTTACCAACAAATTACATTTTCTGTCATAAATTTTTCTTAGGTAACTATTTATACATGAATGAATGATGAGCTGATCTTTTAATGTTTTGTATTTGTCAAGAAGAAAGTTTCTACTTCAATATAAAGAATGAATATTTTTTAAAACTAGTAATCGATTTTTGGTTTGTTCTCCCTAAACACGAAGACTGCAACTTAGAAATCGAATGAAAATTTATTCTATGTGCTTATTACATTTAATTTTAATTTTGGTTTGGCTTTTTTCATTTTGGTTTGCTTTTCTTTAGAATTAATTTAACTAATTTTTTTTTTTTTGTAATCTGTCATTAGACTGTTTTTATTTTTTATTAAATATTTATTATGGGTTTAAATAAATAAAGAAAGAAAAAAAGGGACACCCTCAATAACTTTTGATATAATGTGACCATTATATTGGATTGTCAAACACTTGGACTAAATTTGATGGTTCAAGAGTCTCACCTTAAATATGTTCATTAATTAGGGCAGACGATATTTTAAGGTACAAAATCAGACACAAAAACTTACTTTTTCTGAATAAACATTCCATTCTTTTGACAGATTTCGATTCTTGAATCTTTAAATATGGGAGTCAGCTGCAATCTTGGAAATATGGTCCCAAGTTTTTGTCAGGAAAGCGGGGTCTGATCTTGAAACGCGATGGTCCTGGTCATTACTTAAAATTGCATTTACATGTTTAATTATGAAGTGATTTTAAATATTTATAACAAAAGTAAGTTACTATATATTAGTAAATTTCAACTTATATTTAAATTTTTGTTAACTCATTACTCTAATAGGCAATTCTTTAGGAAAAACACAAAAAGGAATAATTTGTAACATTTAGGGGTCCTCCGAAACTGTGGGGGCCCTAGGCCTGGACCTCTTAGGCCTTACAATGGATTAATTAGGAGCTGCAGAAAAACGGTAAAATTTTTTTGATCCCTTAATAGTAATTTTACTATTTGCGTATTTCTCAGCAGCTCTAGAGCTTTTTAGATGAATCTAAACATTTTTACTCGCAATTGCAAAATTAGTTTATGCGAAGATAATTCCATGCAAACAATAATTAAAATTTTTTTTTTTTAATTTCATTTTTTTTATTTTTTTATTTAACAATTCTTGAAAGGTTGGTATTGTAAAGGTGTGCAAATTTTTACACCATTTTAAGTTTATGTAGCTAAATACACATTTTACAATTGGTTATATAGTTTTAAAAATGTAAAATTTTGTGTAAGTCACAGCCTTAAACTTCAAAAATTTTTTGACTTTTATTTATTGAAATCATGAGTAGTAAAGTATAAAAAGTCGTAGTTTTAAATGTTTTTAGAAATAGATTTCAAAAAACCAAATTTTTTAATGTTTATTTCTCCTAATTTATTCCAAAGTTTTTGTAAAAATTTTTACTTTTCATCTTTCAAAATTACATTGTTTATAATATTAATTGCATTGTTACATACAAAATTACATTGTTTATAACGTAAATTAATTTAAAAAATGTCGTTTTCTCTAAAATTACTTTTGCTTAAAATCATCCTTAGGTAGTTAAAGTTTTACAAATAATATACGTTGTTAGATTAGGTCAATTCATTTCAAATATGGGGAAAAACGTTAAATAAACGAATAAAAATAAGGATCCCTAACTCTTTTTATTTGTAGTTGTTTCAAACAGATTAATAATTAATATAATTATTTTTAGAAATTTATATTCTGATAAGGAATTTTATCAACATCATTTTAATAATCACCATGTTGATCCGTCATAATCTTTTTTTGCACTTCAGTAGTAGCTTGGATTTCCAAGATCTGGAAACCAGCATTTGTGTGCCTCATCAGATTATTCCATCATTTCATCACATAACCAATCCAGTTACAATCATTACATATCTAATCATTTACTGTCTTCCCAGCTATTGATTTAGCATATAATTTTGAACTTAAATGAAATATTAACTAAATTGAAAAATATATTTTTATGTTGATTTAAAAAAAAAACGAAAAAAGATCGGAGCAAAAGAAATAATTTTTAAATGCCAGGTGAGTAAAATCTTATTAAAACATATCGTGCACTCATAGCCTTAATTTGTTCTTTAAGCTTGTTTTTATAGTTATTGTAAAAAATTTTTAAAAATATTTTTGTTTACTGCTAAATTTTATTTATTTTTGATTTTTGTTTTCTGTGACCCTTTCATCATGTCCGTACTAAGTAAGTACTTAGAAGTTACTAATAAGTATCTACTGTAACAAAGTAAGTTATTTTTTTTTTAAGTACTTGCGGCTTTTTTTCATCTCTGGTAAGTTATCAAAATGATTTAAATTTTGAACAATATTTTTTTAGCTAGAAATATTTAAATTATGCCTTTTTTAATGATGTTATAAAATTATAATTTTTAATAAAGTTTTTTTTACAATGTCTACTGTACTTTCATTTTACAGGCGCAGGTTATGGAAGAGCAGTTTTATGAAATAAAAAGAAGAGCTTCACCAACAAATATTTGCATTTGTGATTTAACATTTTGTTTTGAAAGCGATCGGACATGTTCTCACAAGGAATGCATGATATCGTCATTGGAACATCAAATTGAAGAACAAGTTAGTTATTTAATTTTTGATTTTTTTTTCAATTCAGATTTATGCTTCTTAACCCTCAATTGATTAATGCCACCATGACACTTTTACTTACTGAGCTCAATATCTCATATATAGCAGCAAAACAAGTAAATGTTTAACCACACTGATAAAGGAAAATTGCTTCTGATAAATTAAATTAAGAGTAAACAGCTTTTATATATAACTCTTTTCAACACCCTCAAGTACTACTTGGAAAATTTTCCCACATTATATCTTATGCACATCTGCCAACCACTATTTTCTAAAATTCTGAAGATTTCTTAAGAATAAATTACACACTACAGAAATTAAAAAGACAGAATAGAAAAAGACATTACTATAGATGTAGAGTTATAGAAAAAGACATAACTATTAGAATATAGAAAAATAGAAAAAGACATTACTATTTTGTATCATAAGTATTTTATTTTATAACAAAACTCACTATAAAATCAATTTATTCTTAGCTTCAATATATTCTTATCTTCATTGTTTAATGTGAACATCTTGATAATCTTTTGGTAAAATACAAGTTAAAAACACAGATATTTTTATTAAATGAAATGCATTTTATTCTTTGTTCCAAAAAATGCAAGTTCGATTATGTGCTTTTACTATAATTATCATTATTTTTAAATTAAAAAAATTCATTAGATTTTACAGTTGTTTGATACAGTTTAGTTTTATTCCTTCAATTGCAAGTTTTTGTTCGCTTGTAACTAGATTTTCGAGCAGTAAACTGAGGATCCTTTAAATGGTTTTTTGAAAGACTTTATAAAATGATCAGCAACAGTTAATAATGTGTATATCGCACAAAGGATGAATTACACAGGTATGTGTCTCTCTAAAACTTCTTCATAACAACCAACAAGAGGACTTTCATCCATGTAACATTGGTGCATATACACACCATTTGTTTCGTTACTGTTAGGATCAAACTTACTATCTCCTGCTTTTTGCCAGACTGTATCATTTCCATTTGCGGTGTCCAGCAGTTGCTCTCAAACTTGAATTGTTGATTTTCAGTAGATTTGCTTGAAGATGAAGTTCAAAGCTAAAATTATTGGAGGAAAAAACTTTACACTGAAAACTCTAGTAATTTTAAAACTATTAATAATTGAATATCTATTTAAAACTTTATTGTTCAATTTGAAAATGTTTTTAAATTTTTGTATTTTTCTTTTATAATAAAATGCAATGGGTAGATTTCCATAGCACTATCTGCACCAAAAAATCCCGGTAGTGCCACACACAACGCAAAAACATCGCAGAGGGACGAGGATTAGCTAAAAGAGTTTATTCAGAACCGTTCTCAAGCAAAAACTTTATTTTCTTTTTCTTAAAAATTGTGCTCCAAAACCCTTTAGCCCCTTTTATTATAAGTGAATATTCAAGCATATACTGATAAGAAAATATTTAAATTCATTACTTGTACAATTTTTTTGAAGATAAAGAACAATGACACTTAACTATCAAGATATTTTTGTACATCACACAAGCTCATTGAACCAACAGAAAGTTTTCCCTTTTTTTAAGCTCTCTGAACAAAAATTATGCCTACTTTCCAACATTGTTTGTCATTCAACATAATAACTACTTTGAATAAACCATATTGTTACTTATTTTGCTATCATACAAATGAATATAAATAATGATGTATAAAAAACATGCAGATCAGCCTATATTTAAGAAATCAAAATTAAGATGTTTAACTAATTATTCTACAATATTTTATAATTGTAGAATATCATAATATTTTTTATCCATATTTATATCCCATCATATTATTATCCATATTTTAATATCATAATATTTTAAACAGGAAATTTTAATGAAGTTTTAATAGTGTTCGTATTATGAATGAAATTTTATACATCCTATAAAATGTAATGGCTTTAAATGAGCTATAAGTAGCCGCTTAATTAATAATTATTTTAACAAGGCAAACTTGTTTTCTAATGTTAAATCGTTATTATTTCGATATAACGATTATATATCATTTTTCTACGTGGGTAGTATCAATTTGGTGAAGCTTTTAATTTCCTGCCTATTGTGAGACATTTTGTGTCTTGGTTCGTTTTTAAAGACTCCTCATTAAGGATGACCAAGGATTATTTCAATTATAGCTTATTTATTATTAAATTCTTGATTATAGAATTATTTACAGAAAAGTTACAAATAGATACATGAGCTGTTGAGTATTTAAATGTAGGAAGGTATAAACTGCTTTTTTTCATGTGATCAAGATCTTATGTTAAGTTGTCTCATGCCAGAACTCATGGTAAATGAAAAACGTATTGGTGCGCTATTTCTCATCTGAACCATAGCTTTTTTAGGTAATATAATTATTTTACAGGTGAAGAGTTAGTATCCTTGTGAGTAAAAAAGATATCTATAGAGCATTGATATGTGTGATGTCGTTTGTGCATGTATGAACGAATTGTATATTCCGATAATTTACTAATCGAGGGGAGGGTATGATTGAAGTGAAATTATGCAGCAAGGGTAACTGAGAAAAAGCTTTCAGTTCGCTGAGCAATATCTCAGTTGTTTAAAGGTGATTACCATGCTTTGATATTGCTTTATGAAGTATCTCTAAGGCACAAAACTATTTAATTTTAATAATGTGCTTAATTATTTTTAAACAGATTTGTTTGATTTGTGTAATTTTATTATTATTATTAAATGAACCTACTTGAGTATAATGTGTTTCTTCACATTGCCTAAATATTAAATTTTTACTTCAATTTTTTCTTTAGAAGAGATTGAGAGTGTGTGATGCAAAACAAGTTGAAGATAAAGCTTCAAAAATTAAAGAGTGGGTAAAAAACAAACTGAAAGAGGTATCCTTTATAGGAATTATTATTATTATTGTTTTTTTTATTTTTATTTTGTGTAATTGCTTTACGGAAATTTATTCCATGTGACCTAACTATTTTATAACAATCAAAATTATTTTATTACTTCCACTTTTTAATCAAAGATAAAAAAGTTACAGAATACCTTTTTCTTAACACTATGTCTTGGTGTGTCATTCATTATTTTTCTATATAAGTTCTTTTCTGCTGGATTTTATTTATTTAAAAGTAATTTCCCTTTTTGTAAGACATTTTAAAAAATGGGATGATAACTACTATTTTAAATAAATATATCATTTTAAGAGATTTTCTGGGAGGCTAAAGCCTGCTTTTTTTTCTTTACAAATAATTGCTAATAGCGAGCTAGATAATTTCTTTATTTATCTGATTTATCTAATCGTTATAGTTTACATTGTACTTAGGTTTTTGTATAAATTTGCTTTTTTTATAATTACATACTTAATCTTCCTAATTTGGGTGTGGGGATCTCAAATCTGACAGTTTTATTTATTTATTTTATTATTTTCAGTCATGAAAGCATGTAGCTGAAAAAAAATTTTCTTTTTAATACTGTTACTTAATACCTTTAATTCAACTACCTACCTAGGTAATTATTTAATACCTTTACTTCAAAAAACGGTCAATAAAATTTGTTTGTTCCTAAACTAATTAAAATTGAAACAAACATATTACACATTTTCAAACATATGAGCATGCGCTATAAGGAAACAAACTCTAATTACCCTGTTAGTAGTTTTCACTTAACTGGATCATGCTTTGAATTGCGTTGCAGAAAAAAAATTAACTTAAATATAAGATAATTGAAACATATAACTGCAGGAATAATATTTTAATATTTGAATGTTCTTTAAATGTTTCTCTAGAAGTGTGCAAAATTTCATATTTCATGAAATAGTTTTTGAGATTAAAAAGTGAGAAATGCACTTTATGGAAATTCTTTGGAACTTATGGACAGGGTAAGAGCCTCCTTTACCCAACATCATTAAATAAATAGATAAACAACAGAGTGAATTTACATAGTAGCAGAATGCAAGAAAAACAGCTCCTTCAGAAGCATATTTATTTGACGATTGTGACACTTTAATAAATTACAAATGATTTGATGAAAAGGAAAGGTATCATAACTACTCATAACAAAGTCCCATGCCCAAAGACTCAATTTCCAGAAGTATCTTTTACATAGTTGCTTTAACAAACAAAGGAACAAAATTGCTTTAACAACTATGATTAAGTCTCTGCCTTTTAAGCATCGAGATTCAGCGTCATCGACCAATTACAAATTACTAAACATCATACTTAAATTATTCTACAGGTATATAAAGATTTTATTAAACCAAAAATGAATACTTTCAGAAGCAGAATAAATTATTTTATAGCTTTAAAGTCAATTCAGAGTAAGCGGCTTCTATTTTAAAAGAGAATAGCTGTGAAAGTTAATAAATAAAAAATAATTTGGTCCATTCTAAAAAGTTCAGATGTTTATAACCTTACATCGCATAGAATTCGTGTTTGATTTTTTTGAATTATATATTTTGAAAAATTAGCATTCAATAAAGTAATTTCATCTATAAATATAACAATTTCTTGCTGAAATAAGAAAAAGAGAAAATTAAAGCTGATATAAATATGTATCACTTCACTAAATAGAGTTTGTTTTAAAATGTTTGTTCAAAATTTTGCTATTAATTATTGCTAAAGGGAGATGAACTAAATGTTTGTTTTCCACATTAGTTTTTGAATGATTTGAAAGTTTTCAATCCGTTTTGAACCGATGACCAATTGTTTCGCTTTCTATCTCATTAATCATGTAAAATAATCGTATATCAAGTTGTGCAAAGCTTAGATTATATTCCAAGCAGGAAGATTATATTCCAAGCTGCAGCGCTATGTTTATTGAAGGTGGTAGCAACAGAGAAAAATTTATTGCTTTTCTGATTCTTCTTTCATCCCTCTTAATTCTGAAAAAAAAGGTCAAGTACAAAAGAGGTCAAATACAAATTCTCAGCGCCATTCTATTTTATGAATCATGCTCTAAAAATGACTGACTTCGATTCTTAAGCGTTTGATTCTGATGTAGCCAAAGTAATTTTTAAAAATCAAGGATCATTCAATTAAAACCTTTTCTGTCCTGTTTAATAGCTTTAGTCAATGCATTCAAGCATATTTTTAAATAGAATTTTATAGCATTTGATATTATTTGAACCATTTAGCGTATCTAGTTTCCCTATTCATTTACATAATGGTTATATTTTGTGTATAGTTCAAAAAATATTTAGGAATTTTCGGTTGTAGTTAAAATTTTCCTTAAACTGTTGCTTTCTCTTGAAGAGTTAAATCCACATAGTTTTTGCAATCCCCTGTCTGAAATTCATAACTACAGTGTAATTATCAGGGATGAGATTCTTTCGCGGATTTCCGCTTTTTATCAGATTTTTCCCACTGATTTCCGCTGAAATTTTTTTTTGCACAAGTTAAAATATTTTATGAGGAATTAAATTTTCCTCGAAGCGAAAGTATTGAAGTCCTCATTCCTCCCTCAAACATTGATTTTCGTATTTACCTGATTTAAAAGTTGAACGTTGCGATTCTTAATCAGGCGATTTAAATGTCGTACATTGCGATTCTTATTTACGAGATTTAAAAATCCAATATCGCGATTTGTAATTACGCAGTTTTAAAGCGATATAGCGCGATTAAAGTTATATAGCGATTTGTATTCATGCGAGCTTAAAATCCTAGTGACGTAGATATTCGCATAAGAGTAGAAGGAAGTGAAGGTCCTATCTTCCCGGTGGCAACAAATTTCCAAGAAATTACCCTCTTTCAGGTTTACCTTAGTGAAGTGGTTTATCTCACTATTGGCGTATCTTTAGGGAGCGCAAAAATGTGAAGTTTTTTGTCCTGTCTGTGATTGGACAGATTTATTACTGTCTCTGACAGATTTATTACTGTTTCTAAGGCTTTAGAACGTCTTACGTAAAAGTATCTTGCACACATGATTGTCATTAATGATGTAATTCCTAACTTGGAAATAAATTCGTAGTTGCACAAAGATATTTTTTAGTCTTACTCAAGTCACTTAATTATGATATTGAACACAAAAAGATTATAAAACTTCACCATTTATGTCTTTTCTAATCACATTAAAACATGAATTTTATTAAACATGATTTAAACATTCATATCGCTTGATTGTTATCGTTTAAAAAAATTTGAAAATAATGTTAAAATAAATTTAGACTACCATTTCACAAACATTGAAGATGTTCGTTAATTAAGCTCTTATGAAAGCAGTTGTTCATTTTTTAAAAAAAAGGGATAATATTTATTTCCAGAAAATATTTGCTTGGCAATAATATTATTGTTTCATAATGCTATAAAACTTCAACTTCTGCGTCAACTTCTCTCAGTAGCCGTGTCAAGAGTAAAAATGCAAAAACACAATATAAATTAATTAAGATTTTTAAAAATAAAAAGTAAAGGAAATAAAGAAAACATAATTTTTAAAAGACTTAGCTCTGTAAAATACTGAAGGCAAGAAACTTGTTTGCACATATATTTCCAAATATTTAAAATCCTTTTTCATCTAATTGAACAAATAAATTTCATTTAAAATGTAATTCCATCAAATAAAATTTCATTCGGGGAAAAAATATACTGGAAGGACAAATGTTTGCTTTAATTTGTAAATTTTTAAGATACTTTTTATTTTCACAAGTACAGTACAGGTAATTTTTTCTTCTTCTTTTTCCAAGGAAAAAAAATCATATTAGTTAAAATCGTTGGCTTTCTAGGAAGAAGCTCCATTATATAAATGATTTAAAATGTTGTGTCCAACTTAGCCGAACCCTGATTTAGCATTAATATTACGAAGATCCCTGATACAAAAATAAATAAATAAATTTCCTCTTCAATAAATGAAACTTAGCAACTAAAAGAGCTATTCATTTAATGGACTAAGTGAAGTTTTTTTTTCTTCAAAAATACGACAGTTTAAAAATAATTGAGCTTTACACATAAGTATTTCGGAAACAATTATAATTAAAACCTGTTACCACTTGCCTACAGGCAAACCGAGGAAGGGTTTCGTGGTTTTCCTCTCCATGTAACGCAAATGGGAGATAATCGGCTGCTCAACAACGATTATAAAATAAAATAAAATACAACCTATGTTTAAATTGTATAATTATTTTTATTTAAAATATATTAATTTAATTTCAATTTTATCTATTTGAATAAACAAAAAACTGTAGAGCATAAAAAGCTATAATCAATTCTTAGTTCATTTTTTTAAAAAGGCCTTGTGTTTCTTTTATTTATATATCAATTGTTTAGTTCTATAAATTTTATTTATTTTGTAAACAAAAGATTTTTTTTTATTATTCAGTAAATTTTACATTTATTCTTTTGACAGCAAAAATTTTATTTATTCGTAGTTTAATTACATTTAAGTTACAACTAATATATTTTATTCCCTTTTATTTGTGCAAATAAGAAATGTGCAATTTTCTTGAGAACTTAATTTTTTTTCATTAAGTTTGATTGCTAAAGTGGAAGAAAGACAATGAAATTCGACTTGTTTATTTATTAAGGTTGGTTGCGATAAACTCTCAAACTCTCCATGTCTTTAAAAGGCTTTAAGAGGTTTTGTATATCTTTAAATGTTTTAGCATTATCTTTAGTTTTGTGATAAACAGTGAAAACGAGAAGGTGGTAATTTCACGGTAATTTCAAATCCGTTAAAAATTACTTGACTTGATACATAAATTGGTATTTATTCAACTCATTTTAAGAGCATACTAATGTGTCCTTAATTATATTGGGAAAATGAAGTAACTGTCTTTTATAAAACAACGAGGATTCTTAAACCTTGCCAATATTTTTTGATTTATATAAAATAATAATTGTTATTGTTAATAAAATTTCCATTACAAGTACCTAACTTTTAATATGAAAACTAATATTGCATTTTTTTCAAATATTTAGACTAGTTACAGTGATTTAAATTAAAAATTAAATTAAACTACTTCATTTATTAAAAATTATCTATTTTTATGAAGTGAAATTATATAAATTAGGGGTGTACAACCAGCTGCCTGATAAACTTTAATGTGCGACTCGCTGTAGCAACTTGAACAAAATAAAAAGATTAATTAAATTTTTTTTTGTTGCAAAAATTAAAAAAAAATTCGGAAATTTATAATTGCTCATTTAGGTTTTTGACGCACCCAATCTCTATCACTGTAGTTTTTCGATTGCTTTTTTTCGGTGGTCAATGCTATGAATTTACGCAATCCCAATATTTTTAATACAATTATATATAATTTCAAATTTTATTTATCACTTTTGGCTCTCTTCGTGTATGTCGATTTTATTATAAATCCGATGACTTTTCGATAGTTACTACGCGTCACCCCGTGATTTAAAAAATTCGGACATTTTTAATACTATAGTTTCACGGTACACGAGTTATAAATCATGTATTAAAATAATAATTTTGTACGTGCTCTAATTGTGCCGATTTTGACATAAATATAAGAGGTTAAACGTTTTCTTCTTCTTCCTTTTTGGCAGTTATTGATGTATTTTGATTTTGAATATCCCGATATTTTAACACATATTACAACTCATGAAATTTGATTCTATTTTTTTTAAGTAATTTAAAAAGTAATTATTTATATTAGCAAAATCGACACCTTCCCAAAGAGAATAATAATAATAAATAAAAATAAACATGAATTAAAAAAAACGAGATGTATAAATTTATATTAAAAGCGGATAGCTTTTGCTGTTGTTGTTAATTTACGTCGCACAAGAGCTGCACAATGGACTATTGCGGATCCCTTTTGCAGAAAAACATTTCAATACACGTGCACAATTCTATAGTCTCATGAGCATGTTTAATAACGCATATCCAACCTATTCTTTTTCATGATCACATGGTCCCGCAGTGGACTGATCGTTAAGACACGGTTCCCAGCAGATCACCGAAGTCAAGCATCACTGGCTGCGGTCAGTGTGCGGGTGGGTGACCACTTGGATCAGTCTGCGTAGGGACCGAGGGTGTGCGGTATTGGTCCTCGTTAAACTGTGCTACCGTAAAGTGCTCGACTTCGCGCGCAGGTCGTCGGGCTACCGAAGCGGGGGTGCCATCCCCTCCGCAGAGGATCAAAATTGTGAGGATTCGTGAGAAGCTCATCATCAGGGATGTTTCCCAGACCGTCGCCAATAGCCCATTGTGCAGCTCTAGTGCGACGTAAATTAACAACAACAAATCATGATCACATGATTCAAAAATCACATGTCGTGACGTGATTCGTGCATTTTTAAAATCATACGTTTTGATTCTTCTCGTAATTAAGTCACGCATCTTGATTCGTATTCACGAGGTTTAAAATCACACATCGCGATTCGTATTCTGTAATCTCGTATTAAAAAATCGTACATGTTACTCTTCTCGCAAATCAAAAATCACATACTACGATTATGAAGATGGCTTGAAAAAACCGAATTTTGAGTTAGGCCGCAGATTTCAAGGTTATAATGGCATTCAAACAGAATTAGATATTCTTCCCATGCCTTTCAGCGTAAATTGTGAAACAGTGAGATCGGAGTTGGAGCTTAAATTTATTGAGTTGCAATCTAGCAATCACCTGAAGCAGTTGTTTCAAAACATGCCAAAGTTTTAGTTTTACAAATCATTACCAAGGGCTAGTTTCCCAAATTTCATATCTCATGCCCAAAAATCAATGATATGTTTGCTTCATCATTTGAACAAGTGCTTTCAACTATGAACCTTAGAAAAAATTGATTCAGAAGTAGACTAACGGACAAGCATTTAGCCTCGTTCCTTAAAATAAGTACAACTCACTTCGAACCTCAACACAAGGAAATCACAATATTATTCACCTTATTTTTCCTTTTTAGAATTTTTTCCTAGCCCATCAAACCTTTTTTTCTCTCGATTTTTTGCCTTCGACAAAAAAAGCTTGCCCATCCCTGTTCTAGCTTGGGGAGCAGTCTAATTTTCATTTAATGGCCCGAAAAAGCTATCAGATGATTAAGTATATAAAATTATCACAATATTTGAAAATTTTGCAAATTTGTAGAATAACCATTAAAAGATTTTTTAAGCCATTTTTAACTTACATGGACCATTTTGTATCAATTATGATAATATGATGCTGGGAAATTTGTATATCCTTATATTTTAACAGTAAAAAAGTGTAATCAAGATGAGTAGCGTAATGTAAATTTTAATTAGTTGTTAATATATTAATTGTAAGTAGTGTCATGTTAAAAAATTATTGCTCATAAAGAGTTGTTAACAAGTATCTTATAGTTTTTGATAATTAAGGAAAATAGTGCTTTCAAAATGAATGGTTTCTTATTTTCTCTTCTCTCTCAGTCCGTCCTCTTATAATTTATTTAAAAAAAATGCTTTAAAGTTGGAGTTTATTCCTTACTAAATGTTGAATCTTATTTCGCCCTGCAAAGGTTTTGTTTTAATTTTAATCATTTTTAGTCCTGCAAACTTTTTTTAAATTAAAGTATTTAACTTGCATTTAATTTATTAACTAGAATATTTAATTATATGAACATTGAAAATTTTTAATGTTAAAATTTATCGTTAAATGAACTTCAGTATTATGTAATGTGATAAAAAAAACATGAATTTTCCCATTATCTTTCAATTTAACTAAATTTTTTCCCCTAAGTAATCAGTTTTTAATTTTAATCAGTTTAAGGTATTTAATTTCATGCAAACATATTACATTGTTAACATGTTCTAAATACTTGGGCATGCGGCCCTTCAATGGTCAATCTTCTGTGAATGTGGCCCTTCACTCAAAAAGGTTGTGCATCCCTATGTAAATTATTATGTAATTTTTTTCAAATCTTCAAAAAAAGAGTATATAAAGAAATTTGGAGAAAACATTGAAAAAATTATTAGAACAAGTTTTAAATTTCGCTGCTAGACATGCATAACATATTCAATTACCCAATAATTTTTTTCTATTTATAAAATATTTCATAAGGGTATATAATAAAAGAATTAAAAAAGATAAATGCGGAGAATTTTCCTAATTATGTCATGTTAAATTAAGTTTTACTCCAAGTAAATACAAGGCCCTACTAATATCCAAATTCCTTAATTTGCTCTCCTTTTTTTTCCACTAGCCCTAATTTAATATTTTTAAATTCATTGCAACAAATATTTTATGAAACTTCTTATAGGATAAAAGTACAATTATGCTTGAGAGGATTTATAATTTTCGAACTAAGATATTTCACACATTAGTTCTCAATGTTATATATAAATAAAATGGTCTAAAACGATTTTTCATGGTTTAGAAAATTGGTAAGATTCCTTAATTAAAATATAAATTAATTTTTTCATCATTTTCTTGTCACCCTTTCGTAATATTAATATCTACTATTGTTATGTTATATCTATCCATTAAAAATAGCACGCGATTTAAATATTTTGAAATTATTACTAAGTGGCAAATATGTTACATTTATTTTTATAATTAGCTTTATATAAAACTATTTTCAGCCTAAACTGCTATTAGGAATTAATTTCACATAATACATATTACTAAGCAATCTGGCAAAAAACATTTATCTCTTGCTTACAGCTGGTACAATGGTGCACCCTAGGCAAAGGGTTAACTAATTTTAATGCAACCATTTAACATATGGGGTACCATTTTAAGCAAAAGAAAGAAATTTATAAAAAAAGAACCAATATACTAATGGAAGGACATCTCTTCTTGTCTCTAAAAATTTTCTACTCTTGATGCATGGTCTCATTTGAGGAGATAAAAGAACGATTTATTGTATCTAATATTTTTGTAAGATTAAAAAATTGTTTCTATCAATTATAATGATACTGAAAATTGAGGAATTGTTACCAAAACCTTGTACCAAAATAAAAATTAAGCAGTTTTTAAGGACTGTGGGAACCCTGAATTAGAGCTTCAATTATTTAAGAGATTATTATATAAATTTTTCTTTTTATTCATGCTTATTTAAAATTTAAACAGTTTGCAAAATTGAACAGTTTTGTATACTGGAGATTCGATTGTCATTTGAATAAAACAAAACTTTCTTTTCAGTTAGAATTCTGTAAAATGATGAATAAAGTTTCGATGAGATAGAATCTTAACTAAACATTCTCTCTTTTGAAAATAATAATAATAATACACACAAAAAATAGTGGATTGCTTACATGATACATTATTAAAAGGTATATTAATTCTGCAGAGTGAGGATTGAAAATTTATTAAAAAACATGTATATAAACTCACTAACTGTTGAACAAAAACAAAACACGATAGTTTTATTATACACAGCTTAAATATGACATACAAACACATTTTAGAAACAATGTTGCCCTTTAAAAGGTAACACTGAAGTTTATAACATGCTCTTCTTTCAAAAATGAAATAGATTTGAATATACAGCTGATTGAACCAACTTTCATCACTTAGAACAGACAAGATGCTTAATAATGACAGGCTGCTCCAACTTTTCATCACTAGGCTAAGTAAATGCTTGTAAATTTGGCTTCTGAGGCTCTCCTCAGAATAATGAAAAGAACAAACCTGAAATTCAACTTTTAAAACATGCATGATTACAACCATTTTCCACATCACCTAAGAGCAGGGCTGTGCACTCTCTATGCTTTTTTGAAGTGAAACTTTCAAAATATTTATTTTCAGTTTACTTTTGAAATTTTCTAAAATGAAAAACTTTTAACACTGTAAATACAGCCCTGTTCAAGAGGTATGGTTGCACAGATGCGTTGACCCCTTTTATTAGGTTGTTCCAAAAACATATTTAAAAACTGATTATAAAACCACATTGACTATGGTTCAAAATTTTTATAATTTAACATTGTAAATAGAAAACCAGGAACAAGTAATAAGTACACCATAATTTAACTCAATATGGAACAACCTAACAACATATAGCAAGGCGGGTTCCCCAAGAGGCATATATTCCTTTTGCGCCATGACCATTTAATACTTTTTCTCACTTAAATCTTTAAATTTTTTTAGATGCTATCCTAAAAGTTGAAGGGAAGAAAGGTTTACATTTTATAAATATCTTATGCCTTATATTACTTTATTTTATAAAATTCTTAAACAAGAATGGCACACTTGTTCAAATTTATCAAAAAAGGTTAAATAAAGAATGTTATGGATCTTATAAAATCTTCAGGTACTACAACTTATTGTTGGTTAAAATGGTCATGACACTATACAGTAGAACACCATTTATAAATCTCCTAAAACAACAATTAATAGGCAAAAACATTAATGAACATTTTTCTATACTATACCATTTAAAACTTATTATTCAAAGTTATTTAAGTTTACTGCCATATTTCTACATTTGTAAAAATTTCACAGCCAGGATTGTTCAACAAAATTTCTTGAAGCAATTTTTCATATTCTGTTATATTCAACAATCCACAGAGCAATCATTAGAACCTGAAATTAAAGTTACCAACATTATTTATTTACAAAATACTTAAACCGATTAGGAAAAACTGCTTCTACCATAGCGGTTTTAAATCTTTATAAATATAGTAGGAAAGAGCCCCAGCATTATAAAAATAATATCTAAAGACAATAGTGAGTGAATTAACAAAGTAAAGCATATTTTATTTTGAAAATATAAAATAAGAGGAAAGAATTTTTTGATTCATTAACAACTACAAATCAGAATTCGTGTTTGGCAGTTGAATGCACATTCCTGGAGTTTTTGGTGTATATACAAAAGCTGAGAATCAAATAAATAGGGAGAAATATGGTTTTCATTGAAATGGAAGCTAAAAAAAGTACATAAAAATTGGAAAGATTGTTAGGGAATCACATTCTTTCTTAACAAATTCAGCTATTCTATTTCAATTTGAAAAGTCGAACAAAAAATACAGAAATTTTCAGGAACCTTCTTATAATCTACTTAGGATGTAACTAAAAAATTATATATTTTTTATTCATAGAAAACCAATTTTTATTAACACAATTACTGAGTTCTACTAAAAGGTAATTGAGAACTGCAGTTCTAGTCTATCGATAAATAGAATTATTAAATTCTAAATAGGAACTAACTTTTATTAAGACACAACTCAGAATTCTGAAGTCTTAAGGACCCCTAATTTTTTAAGTCTAGAGGAATCATAGCAAATTTATGTGAAATTAGACAAGGTACTTACCAATATGTAGTACAATCACATAAAAACCACTAAACTCCTTGATATACTCCATTAAACCTTTAATTTTAAATCCAGGAAAGCTTTCAAGCTGCACGTTTGACCCAGTATTTACATCAGGAAGATGGGGTTTCAAATATTTCAACATTGATTCCCCGAATCATAACTAAAGCCTTCATCTAAATGAAAATTTAGGACAAAAAAAATTAGATATTAGAAGAAATACTCATAACATACTTATGAAACAAATACAAGATCACAGAGTATGTTAATAATTAAATTCTTCTCATTTACAAGTATTTCTTCTTCATACATTCAAATTACATATATGTTTTTAAATATCTTATTTTACTACACTGAATTTAATTGTAGCTAACTTCAAAACATTAAATGAATGAAACAAAATTAAGAGCTTAAATTACACTTCTAAATGATTAAATTATGTATACAATATTACATGTATTATACAATACTGAGTTATAAATTACACCACATGTTTTAATAGTTAAACAGATCACATGTTTTTAGTAAGCAAATGCATGCCCCCCATCTGAACACATTTAGCTATAACATTCTGTTATAAATTATGATATCCGAAAAAACAACACAGTAGATTTATGTATCATAACATGTTGCAAAATTGTAGTCATACATTAATTACTGAACACTTACACGTTTTATAGAAGAAGAAAAATACATAAGTATATTAACAATCTAGCGATCACAATATTTAACACTAAATAAGGTAACACGTGAAATAAATAAATGAATAGTATGTAATAGAATATTTAAAACCCAAACAAAAAATTAAACTTTTGAAAAATAAAACCCTACAACATACATACCATAACAGATTTGATAACAGGAACCTAATGCTTGTGAAATTAAATATAATCGTGGTTTTTTTATATTAGCTATACGTTATTTACTCAACATTTACACACGCATAGAAAAAAAACACTTAACTACATTAATAATCGAGCGATTTTAATATTTATAAATATAAGATTTAACACGTGATCTAATAAGCAAATACAACAAAAATTAAATATTTTTCAAATTCAAAACTTATAAATAAACTTACCATAAGAGATTTAATAGATTCTCCAAGTCTTAATTACTAAAATTAATAAAATCAATGTGTATCACTATCGAATCTCACACGTGCTACAATTAAACTGCTACACAACAATGGAGCCAAAGCGCAATGCAGGGCAAAAGCACTGACTGGCGACTAAAACAGCAAATAATGTCGCCACGAGAAACAAAATAGTAACCTTTTAATCGTTGCCACCATACAAAACAGACCTTCACTTCCTTTTACTCTTATGCGAATATCTACAAAAATCTTAAAATCCAATGTCGTGAGTCATTTTTGCGGTTGTAATATCAAGCATCAATTTTCTTATTTATGCATGCTTTAAAAATTAGACAGTGGGATTCGTATTCGCGCTATTTAAGAATTATGTATCGTGATTCGTATTTACGTGATCTAAAAATTAAGCATCATGATTTGTATTTTCGCATTTTTTAAATCCGATATAGAGTTTCATATTCATGTGATGTAGAAGCCTCATTTCGGGATTCATATTNTATATATATGTATATATATATATATATATATGTATATATATATATATATATATATAAATATTCATTCTTGAATTTCCTCTTTTTTACTTTCCAACTACTCTCATCCCTGAATTATAAAAAATTCACTTTATTTAACTGAGGATGTTTCTTAAATTTAATTTAATATGTTTAAAAATTGTCTGCTATCATTAATTTTTAAATAAATTTGTGTTCTCTTTGAAATTTTCGGCTTTTTTTTAACATTAATGTTTTGTTTACATGCTTTATGCACCTGATTATTAAACAATTGTCTTCAGAATAATTCAGATTTTAAAAAGTCACATTCTATCTAAATTAAATTTAATGTGACTTTTTTTTTTATTTCTTTCAAAATGTGCTGAAGATATGGAAAATATCATATTTTTGTTTTTCTACTTTAGCTTGAGGAGCAAAATCAGCACTTGAAAGAACAAAATCATAAGTGCAATGTCCAGTTGGAGTTCCTAAGAGATCAACTAAGCGAATTATCAAGTCCTAAGATTCCGCATAAAAAAGTAGGAGATCGAGGCAGTGCAGAGGTATATATATTTTTAAATTCATGAATAATTAGCTTGAGAAAATAGAGATTTGAATAACTATCTAATCAATTATGAACTAAATAAATACCTAAAATGTCTGTCTCAAATTCTGATATCATTGTTTTTTTTTAAAACCAGTTTTGTTTAAGAATGCTTAATTATTGTAGCCTCTTTAAAACAAAGGCATCTCAGGTCAAGTAGGGCGATATTAGTGCAGTGTTACCATAATTTAAAATTAAAAAGTAGCGAATGGAAGCTCCAAAAGTAATGGATTAGAACATTTTAAAGCCCAAAAAAATAAGTTATTATATATCTTTCTACTAAATTTAAAAAAAAAAGTTTAATTTCAATGCATTGCATTAAAAATTTCGTCAAATTCAATATTTCGTTTTAACTCCGATTAAAGGTCTTGATTTTCCCAGAAGATAAACGATTAATAATGGTCGGAGTTAAAGATTTTTTCCCATCATACTCGCCGTGTATTTTTCCATATATATCTATGTGATTTCACGAGTCTTCGATTTGAAACATAGATATGGAAAGATTCTAGACTCCTCGCAGCAAAACAAATCAAGAGTCCAAAATAAAATGGATGCATTTTCAACAACAAGAAAAAAAGATAAAGAAATTGTTAACTTTCAGAATCATGTTACAATGAGAAGGAAAAAAATTAAAATATATGTATATATATATATTTCTAAAAGAAGAGAAAAAAGGCGCATTTTTAAGATTTGTATCTTTCAAAAAATAATGAGTAGCCCAAAAAGTAGCGGGTAGCCCAAATTCAATTTTCAGTAGCAGCGACTTATAAAAAGTAGGCTAATTTGCTACTTGTAGACCAATCTGGCAACGCAATATTAGTGAAATATCTTGATTTAATCTGAAGTATGCCATATTACCCCGCATCATCCGGCATGTCAGAACTAAATGAGTTGACCAGCATGCAGAAAAATTCGAATTTTCTGGCATGTCGGATAATTCTAGGTTCATTTTGCATAGAAAAAAGTAAATTTCACTGTTCACTACCAATCTCAATGTTAACCACAGTAGTGAAAAAATGGAGAAGAGACCATATATTTTTTCTTTTCTTTCTCATAGTCACATGTTCACTTTGAGAAAGGGGGGCAAATACTGCCTTGTTTTCATTTTTCTGCTGACCCTTTATAGATGCTTTCTTAAAACGTGTGATAGATGAACACATTGAAAATGGAAGCTATTACACCAAAAGAATCTCAAAGCTACACATTGGAAACTTTAAATAAACTCAGTGAGTTGAATGGCGATATAACTACAACAACAAATACTTTTCTACACTGAGGTTTTGTGTAATAAACTGAATCAAGCAAAAAGAAGAAGAAAAATGATTGAATATTTTCCAGAAAAATCAATTGAGGTGAGGAAAAAACAAAATTTTCCTTCTGAAAATGTGAAAACCGAAAAACGTGTTAAGTTTCCTGAAATGGAAAACATTTTGGTAGATTAGATTCAAGAAGAGAGAAATACAGGGAATCTTCTTAACAGTTTAAGAATAAAAATATGTGCAGATCTAATTTTGAAATGTTTGTATAGTAATGGTATTGAAAAAATTGATTTTAAAGCATCAAATGGTTATTTGGAGAAGTTTTTAAATTGAAGTAATATTGTTTCTAGATCTGTGACAAGATTTTGTCAATGATTTTTTGATTATTTTGATCAATAAACCAAAAAATATGATGGATATCAGTTGCATAGGAAATATGGATGAGAATCGCCTTTATAGTTCGACTTATCCACACAAAAATCTTTGACTTTAAAGGTTTTAAAGTTGTACCTTGTAAAACAACAGAAAAGAAAATTAACCCTACTGTGTGGTTTTGAGTACTATGGCAAATGGTGTGAAACTCAAAACTATAATTATTTTTAAAAATTAAAGAGCATTTCTAATGGTGAATTTCCAAAAAGGTAGTGGTAATTGTAGCTTTTAAAAGCTCTATGAACAGTGATCCAATAATATTTATCAACAGAAAATTTAGGATGGACATCCACTTTTCTTTTCAAACCCTTCTTGTGCTGGATAGTGCCAAACATCACTTAAAAACAACAGTTAAATTGAGTTTTAAACATTATTAAAAAGCAGAACTTGCTTTTATTACTGGTGATTTGACTGAATTACAACTTACCAATGTTCATGGGAGCAAACTATTCAAAAGTGAGATGACGCATCTGTGGATTGAATGGAAAAAAGCAAGTTTACTAAATTCGGCATATGTTGATCTGCACCATATTCTTCAATCCCACAATGGGCAAAACCTGACTAGGAAAAAGTGTGGAACAGTGTGGTTTCTCAAGTGAAAAAAAATCGATAATTTACTTAGAAGAACTTATGATGAATAACACTATTGATGCTGGTAATGGTTGTAATAAAAATTAGTCAGGTTTGACTGATATAGAAAGTGAACAAGGGTAATAATTTTTAAAAGAATTTAAAACTGAAAAATTTGTTTATGTAGTCAAGAATAGAAATATATAAAGTAGCAAGATAAAATTAACGTGTATTTCTTTCCTTTCAAATAATAGGTCATTCATTATGGATTTAGGTATATGCCAATAAAATAGTTACCTCTGAAGCAGCCATAGTAATTCTGATTAATTTATAATTTTTTTTATAAATTATTTTAATTTCCTTTAAGGAGTTGTTTTCTCTTTTATTCATTGAATAGCTTTATTCTTTATGTAATTGTAAAATATTTTATTTTAGGACTGCAAATGTTTGCTTTATTTTAAATTTTTATAAAATTATTCCTAACCAATTTGATTTTTTTTATCAAAATAAAAAAATGTTTTTAATCAATATTCTAATGGAATTAAGCTCTTTATTTATATTAATATGATATTATAAATAGAACTTGAATTATTTTTTATTTTAATAGAACTCACATTATAAGCAGCCATAGTAATTGTGATTAATTTGTAACTTTTTTTACAAATTATTTTAATTTCCTTTAAGGAGTTTTTTCTTTTATTCATTGAATTGCTAAATTCTTTGTGTAATTGTATAATATTTTATTTAAGGACTGCAAATGTTTGCTTCATTTAAATTTAACTTTATGTAAAATTATTCATAATCTAATCAGTTTTTTTTTATCAAAATATAAAAAATAGTATTTTTAATCAATATTTTAATGAAATTAAACTATTTATAATACGATATTGTAAATAGAACTCACATAAATTTTTCAGTTTTAACACATTTATTACTTTAAATTAAATAAATTTTTCTAACCGCGTCTTTTATGATATGAAGGGACCAGGGGCCCTATTACCAGCTTCACGGAATCTGATTCTGATCGAAATGAAGCTCTCGGGACGTCATAAATCCGTGAATGTCAGTTAGGCCATATTACGAGCTCTTGATTCCGCTCGGAACTAAATTCCGATGCGAAATAATTACGAATCCGATTCCGACTGGCTTAGAGCAAGCGAAATCTAAATTCCGATAGGAGTTTGTTTATTTTAGTGATCAAAATGGCGCTGTTTTCTGACATTACTACCGATTAAAGCCAATCTGAAAAGCATTTTTGTAGTTTTTCTTAGCGTGTAACACAAAACTTGATAATTTAATTTTATTTAAAATAGGATATTTTTATAGCTTTCATAAATATAATTGTATTTCGGTACTTGTTTTGCGGCTTATTTTGTTTTACGGATTGAGTTAAAAAGAAGAGCTTTTCGTTATATTCAGAAAGATAACTTATCTATTTCATAATTTTATAACCGTCGTCGAACAGCCGAATTAGTTTTGTGTTTACGACTACTGATGTTCAACTCCGTAGTCTTGTAATTTTAAATCCAACCCAGAAAACAAGGAGAGTCCTGTATCAAGTATTGAGTGAAATTTGCCTCCCTGGAGGACTTTTTGATGGAACTAACCCTCATTTCCGTAACATGGAGTGGAAAACCACGAAAACCTCCCACGGTTAGTCTGACCTCAAGGAGACTCCAGATCTTCTGAGCCACAACGGCTAGGCCTGATTAATAATAAAAACTGATTGCTTACGAAAAAATAATTTCATTGAGATAATGATGAACATTTAGTTGAAATCCAATTACCGCCAAGCAATCTGAAAAACTTTTTCGAAGTTTTTCTTTGCGTGTAACGCAAAATTTGATCATTTTAATTGATCACTTAATCATGGTTAAAATAAATTATTTTTGAAACTTTGATAAACATTGTTTTTCGCCGATACTTAAATTGTGAGTTACTTTGATTTTTGGGATGAGTTATAAATATAAATAAAAAAAATATAACAAGCATCTCGTTATATTCACAAATATAATTGGCTGTTTGTCAAAGATGCTAAAAAATGATTCATTACATAGAAAAAATACATAACGATCATGGGTGCAAGTCTTCCGTCCCCAGGATGGATTTCCGTCTTTCGAAAATGTCCGCGGACGGAAGTAAGACGGAAACAAGACTGACTCGAAGACGGAAATCGGAATTTTTTTTTTCTGTCCTTAAAAATATTTTTTAGGTCTACGTTATTGGTCTACTTTCTTATGTCCTGTTGTTATTTTATCAAAAGACAGATGAATAAATATTTTTTGTACAGTATTTAAACATGATGTATTATGGTAAAGCTTTCTTAGATAGTTTGCATAGGTCGAGGGAGTATTGTGTATGTTAGGTATTTCAGTCAAAAAATTTTCAGTCTTGGCCTTTTTTCCAACTTGCACCCATGATTACGATTCCTGAACATTAAGCTGGAACTCTAAGCGTCAAGCAATCTGAAAGATATTTTCATGGTTTCCCTTTACGTGTAAATATGATTGATTTCTTTAAAAAAAAAATAATAAAATAAAAATTTAAGAAAAAACACATAAAGGCAACAATGTTTAAATATTTAAATAAATTATTTGTTATTTTGTCTTTCTTCCTTGATAAAACAAAACAAAATGAAGAGCATTTGATTGATGGCAATTCATTAGAAGGGTAGATAGTCTTTTGCGGACGTTAAGAAATGATTTGGCAGATTTCTTTATTATAAATGCTACAAATAACTATTTTGATGAAAAAGATTTTTATTTTTAATTCTCATAGGAAAATTTAACAAATTTACAGTTGCATTATAATAGAACTCGACGTTTCTAACTAGTAATTATGGTTGAATAAGCAAAAATCCTTCCTTTGGTTTTAATTAACCCCAAAATTGCTTGCAATGAAAATAATTATAGACAACCTTGATTTTCCTTCTGGGATTTTATTGTAATTGCATTCAGTGGTGGATATTGCTGGCGAATATTGATTTTTGTATGGGAAGCCATTCTTTAAAGTAAAGCGTATGAATTTTTAAGCTTTCAGTTCTAAGTTAATGCGATTTTAGCTCGCATAGAAGAAGAGAAAACAAACATATGGTTGCCAGATTAATAAATTAGAATTATAGTAATTTTCTAATTGGTCAAAGTTAGTCCCGCCAATTTCACCGGAATCATGCGGAATGGTGATTTCGATTCCGGATTCCGATATGCTCATGTTACGGCAATGTGGGTTTTACGAAATTGACAATCCAATGAAAGCTAGTTTCCAATCGGAATTGTTTCCCAGCGGAATAAATTTCGATGAGTTGGTAATAGGGCTTCAGGCAAGAATTATTGAAAACCTGGTGGATCCCGAATCTTGCAGCAGGCTGGCTGATGTGGTGTAATTCAGTAGATGTAATTAATTCTTAAGATTTATTGCACTTGAAGTCTGTATCAAGTGGCATTTTTAAAATGTAAATAATTATTATAATTGTAAGTTTTAAATACTGCATTAAAAATTACTCAAAATTTTAATTTTTAAGTTACGTTGATACATACTAAATTTTCAAGCTTTGTTTTGAAACAAAAGAATTTATGAAGAATTCAAAATGTTTCATCAGTATCATTTGCAATATTTAACAAAAGAAGATTTTAAAAAAAATTAGATTGTTATCTATGAAAACAAAATTCTTTAGATAGATTTGTTATTATATTTAATCCAAAAAACTGCCATTCTTCATAAATGCAAAATTT